TATATATATATATATATATCACTACTACAGGATGTATTATCTATATCGGTTCTGGAAGGTAATCTACATCGGTTATAAAACCGATGTAAAATAGAGCGACTTAGAAAAGCAAACACTTCTACATCGATTGTCAGAAAAACTGATGTAGATTTGCGTACAAATCTATATCGGTTGTAAGTAAAATCGATATAGATTTTACCACTATTCTACATCGGTTATACCAAGAACCGATGTAGATGTGTTCACAAATTTACATCGGTTCTACTGGAAACCGATGTAGATTGAATTAAAAAAAAAAGACTTCATATAAACATATATATATATATAAGATGTGTTGGAAACCGATGTAGATTGAATTTAAAAAAAAAAAGCTTCATTTATTTTTTTAGATTCTTTCTAGGTTATCTGTATAAACACACACACACACACACACACACATATATATATATATATATATATATAAGCAAGTGTAATGGCCTTCTTACTCCTTTCCATGTATATATAAAGGGAAAGAGAAATATAGGAATATAGGATAAGCTCCTTATACACATTTTTCAAAAGAAAATTGAATAAAATGATTAATGCTCTCAACACACATGTTGTTATCAGTTATTGTGTATATTATGAAGATATTAAGCAGCATGTGTATCATAAGAGGATAAAAATAATGCAACGACCATAATTCCTGATTTAGTTTCAGGCAGATAAATTGGGACAACAAACATAATAACTGCATTAGACACAGCCAATCCAAAGTTTGACCACAGATGTTCTGGCAAAGAACCTGCTAGGCGAGGAGTTAGACAGGACAAGAAAAGAGAAAGGTTTAACACTCACATCCAATGAGCAAGTTATTTTATTGTCAATAGGAAGTATTAATTTTATATTAATCACTTGATTGAGTAGCCTAATGCCTAACTGACTCCATTATATATTAATAAAATCCTTCATGATATGAATGCATTACAAAATCAAGTAGTTGTGGGCTTGTGGCACAGTTGTCATATAAATGAACTTACTATCAAACTTAGAAGGATCCACATATCTAGGGCTAGGTAACCATAATTTAATTACTGTGCAAATGGTAAATAAGTTAAGTCTCATAATTTAATTATTGTGCCTTTGTTTCTTAAACAATCCAGATAATAGGCATCATGTTATAAGTATCAAAAGTTCTAAACAAAATTATCAAACAAAATTTGCTTATCAAACAATTCTTAACCTTGCACATGATGATTTTCATATCTGAAAAATACCATTATGGTCAATCCTTAATATATCATAAAAATGGAGTATCATGCTTCAAAAGTGCAACTGACCTGGTCAAGATCTTTAGCAACCACAGTGTTTCTAACTGCTGCAAAGAAAGAAAGCTTCATTCTTTCATCTTGAACTTTCACTAAATCAAAAAGCCGTGGAACCCCCCTGGAGTGTTTACTTTCTTTCTCAACATTGGAAGAAGGTCAACTTGCTTCTCCTGAATAAAGAAATGATGTCCAAATTATATTTATCAAATAAACACCTGGGTTGCGTACTATCAGCACATCAAAAACATTACATAACTGAATATATCATCAATCATTGACAAAAAAATTGTATTCAATCAAGGGCATTATTTTATAAACTGAAACTTGACAGAATCTAGCTTGCTTTCACTCCCCAACTTTGATTTAAAAGGATGCTACCCAGGAGTAGACCACCTCCAAACCAACATAAAATTGCTATTAACACCATGTTCTTAACTTCAAGTAGCTCAAAACGTTGACCAGCTGTGGCAAAAACTCAAGCTGTTAGTAAGAAGTTAAGGAGTGATTTCGCCATTTCCTGTATAAATCTTTAAAAACAAGAAATAATGAAATTTAGTAAAAAAAAATAGTAACAGAAAAATTCCCCTGTACCAAACATGCCCTTAAATTAGCAGATATATGCTAGATCATAAACTCGGTCATGATTATATAAATCCAAGGGTACAGAAGTAAAAGTAAACAAATTTAATTTGTGCCATTAATTATATTAAACAGCCATTAAGAGACAAAAATAAATTGAATAATATAAAAAAAACCAATATCATGAAAGTAGCAATGCCAAGATTCTCTCTACAAAGTAACTCAACACATGCTTGAGCTACATTTGTTGTTTCCACCACAATATAATGAAGTCCAGGACATGCTGTTGATATTGCAACATCATACTTTGCTGCAATGATTTATAAGAAGTTAATCTAACAGATTCCTGGAATGATAAGGATAAATTTAACAGTATTAATCTAATGTAAATTATGTAATATCATACTAAGAGCAAAACAATGGTACCAAGAAAAATTGGATTGTGTTAACTAATAATAATAAACTCAGAAGAAACCACATGTCCCTTTTTTTTCCATGAAGTACCAAGTTTACCATTAACTGTAATTCTTTCTTGATAGCTATAATCATGACCATCAAGAAATATAAACTTAGACCCAAGACTAGAAAGAATGTTGCTGGAAGCATTAAACACATAATGGTACCCATTTTCCTATTATGCGGAAGTGGGTGGCGGTAGGTGTTGGGGTTAGGGTTGGAGCGGAGGTGGACGGGGGTCGTGTTGATGGCACCACACATGTTGGGGACGGAGTTCCTCGAAGGCCTGAGCGATTTCCAGGAGGAGACGCCGCCCCACCGGGATCTTAATGAACTCCGGGTAGAGCTTGGTGGCGAGGAGGCGCATGACCATGTTGGTGATTTTGGAGGCGAGGTAGGGTTCGAGGGAATAGCGGGAGGCTAGGGTTTTGGCAGAGAGGCCGTGGGCGAGGCGCGATAGGACCATGGCGACGACGTAGTTGGAGGGGAGGGAGAGGTTGGAGAGGGCAATGGCGACCGCGGCCGTGTTTGTTGCGGCCTCCATTCTTGCGCTTGAATGTCTGCAAAGAAGAAGATGGAATGGTGAGAAGAGGAAGAAAAAGGTTAGGGAATAAATGAATTGGAGAACAATAAGAGATCTTCTCCAACCATGGTGGGTGGGTAGCCGGAACTTGCACGCTCTTCTCTAGGGTTTTGAGTGCTGCGACTGCTGAGTGAAATAGATTGGCAACAACAGAGTGTTGTGACGAGAGGGTGAAGGGGCCGCGAAAATTTGGCTTCAGTTTTACATCGGTTAAATGCAAAACTCGATGTAGAATAATATTCTCATTCAATTTTTACATCGGTCAGAAATAGACTCGATGTAGAATGGTTTACATCTTCAATTTATTTACAAAACTGCCATCACATTTTTTATTTACATCGTTTGTAGAGGAACCGATGTAGATGTAATGATGTAAAACAGTAATTTTGTAGTAGTATATATATATATATATATATATATATATATATATATATATATATATATTTGTGCTAGTTTTCATATTTTGTATTTTGCATATTGATCACTTGGTTCCTTTTACTAGCTTTATTTAAATAAATAAAAAGCTAATTGTAAAAAAGATTTATATATGTGCACAATAAAAATAATGAAATATGAAAATAATAACTATTGATATATTATATTTCACAAGTATAAGAAATGATTTCAAAAAACTTAAAAAGTGTATTAATGAGATTAGATAACCCTAGGTAAGTACCAAAGGTTATAAAACCATGAATAAATGACTTTATATTAATGAGGGTTATATCTATAACCCGAATACATATCCAAGGTCTATAACCACAAGCAAGTAAAAAATAAATTATGGTATGTGTTTGGATTTTCGAGGGTTATAAACCCTTAGTACTTAACAAGGTTTACATAACCTTAGTTATTTGTTAGGGGTTACTAACCCTTGTTACTTAATGGAGGTTGCATAACTATTTGTCATCTCCCAGGGGTTAAAAACTATGGTTACTTAATCAGGACCTCTAATAAATTCTGAATTTTCAGGGGTTTCTAAAAACTCCCGCTAACACATTCCTAAAAATGGTTTACTTGGGGTATGCACAACCCCCGAAAATGCGTTTAACAGGGGTTATAACCCCAGTTAAATTCAAAATTAACCCTATTAAATCAGTTTTTTAGTGTATTAACCTTAGTTTATTCTATGAGAAAAATAATAATTTCAAGTTAGCAGGATTCTATGATATAGACTATGCTCATGACAAGATTAAGAGAAAAAACACAAGTGGATGATGTTATTTCTTAGGTCCTTCTCTCATCTCTTAGGCAAGCAAAAAGCAAAACTCAATAGCCTTCTCCACTACAGAAGAAAATTACATTTATGCTGCTAGTTGTTGTTCATAGTTAATATGGGTGAAGTATCAACTAGAAGGATATTCAAGTCTTGAACACTATATACTTGATTTTTGTTATAACACTAATGTTATTAATCTATACAAAAATCTCATACAACATCCTAAAGAAAACCATATAAAGATAAAATATCATTACATACGTGATTATGTACAAAAATGAGTTTTTGACATAAAATTTATTGATATTGATCACAAGTGGGGTTGATATCTTTACTAAGTTTTATCTGATGAAGACTTTAGATTCATTAGAGACCATTGGCATCTAAAATGTATATTAGATTAAGTTTTCTTTAACATAGTCTTACATTTATCTATGCTTCATTTGTTATGCATAATCTTATGCCTACATGTATAGTTCACCTAATTCATTAATCTGAGCATGTTATTATATGCTTACTAATGTATCATCTTTCTTGCGAAAAGGTATCTGTTGTATTTAATGCTCATAAATGTTTTTCAAATGATTAAAAAATGGGGTTTAGTAAAGGAATGCGTGGAATATGGGATAACTAGAAGCGTGTCACATCAACAAACTTTTCTTCTCTCTCCTCATCTTTTTGCCTCACCTAACACGTTTTAGGAAAAAAAAATTGTCCTACCTACAAACATTCAAACTCTAAACCACTTCTAAACGTCTCATTACCCTATTTATTTCTCCCTCAAACTTTCACCTTTCTCTCCCAAATATAAACCTTAATCTCCCAAATGACACCCAAAACTCAAATAACCAGCAACACCAATGACCTAATGGAGGAACACCTTGAGACAACCTTTCTGCTGGGAAAGAGCACTATAGTTCAACAATGGCAAGATGAAAGGTATTTTTTCAAGCACTACCTAGATAGGGTTGGATGGACCAACATTGTTGACCTTAAATGTGATTGGTTTTATGCCCTTTATGCATATTTCTAGGCATCTACAAGGCTAGGAGCACACATGATAACAAGACAATTGGACCAAATTGTGATTAGGATTAATTCTATCACCATTGTAATAGTTTGTAGTTGCAAAGAAGAATGTATGATGTACTCCACTGACTAGGAGAAGGTCATCACTCAAGAAACAATGGATGTTATGTTGTATCCCTCTCCTCAACTTTCTGACAAGATAGAGATGAAGAAATATCTTTGCACCACCAACATGAAGCCCTTTAAAAGGTTGTTGCATAACCTATTGTTCAACACATTCATCCCTAGGTTTGGCTCCAGGGATAATGTCTCCAATATAGATTGCTTTTGTTTGTATCACCTCACTTTGGGGATGAAAATCAATCTACCCCAGCTTGGTGTACAACTATTGGAAGTCCTATATCAGCTAGAGAGCTCAAGAAAGGAGTAAAAGAGCACTTAATCCCTACGGGATGCTTTCACAAAAGTGATTGAGATGGTTGACATTAACACCTCCGATTATGAAAAGGGAAAGGGGGTTAGAGAGGTTACCTCAATCACCTTGAAGAGAATGGGGGTTGTCCATTTGTTTCCTCAAACAAAGAGGATGCTAAACAAAGTGAAAGCTAAGCCTAAGGAAGAACCCCCACTAAAGAAGTTTACCACCAAACCATGCACCTTCCATAACCATCCTCAAGCCCAAATAGTAACCCAAACACAAGCCCTTCCTTAACCACCAAAAACCAAAACCAAAACTATTGTATCCAAACCTTTTAGAATTCATGTTCATGAGTCTTCATCTAACTTGAATGAAAAACCCTTGGCCTTCTGTCTCTCTCGCCTTAAACCCAATTTATTTCATCCACTACCACTACCACCACCACAAACACAACCACAATCCTCCTAGCCTCAACAGCCCACGAAAAGATGTCTTGTGTGTGGGATTTTTTTTCCCAAGATGTAGCAAGAGGAAAAATGAACCTTCAAGCATGCTAACCTTCTGTCTAAAATGGAGGCATAAGAGTAAAAGAAGAAGGAAACCAATTTGGCCACTAAAGAAGCAAAATTGCATGAAAAAGCTATTCGTCTCTCCATTCTTCCATAAACACTTTCTTCCAACGACGCCTCATATTTCACTATCCCACTTCTCTTAATATTCAATTTTTTTATTTGTTTACCTGTATATATTATTTTTTTTACGATTTCCCTAAATGTTTCTCTCCCCTCTGTACTCCTAAAACTAAATCAGAACCATCCTAGCAAGAATTCAAAAATACTTTAACTATAATGATTAGTTTCCTAGTTCGAGCTCTCCTTGCTTCATATCGTAGGTAGGCACACTATGAACACAAGTTTTAGAAGTTGTTTACCAAACTCAACATGGAGATCAACTCACATGAGGATGAGTAGTTTTGGACTTGCTTTTATTGGTGCTAAAAGGCCGAGTAATATACTTGTTTTTGTTGTTAATTTTTTGTTACTTTGAACAATTATTTTGTTGATAAACTTTTTAAGTCTTATCTTGCTCTAAACTAGTGCTCCATTTAAGGGGGAGCATATTTACTTTAGTAAATTTCTCTTTTTGATTTAACTCTTGCTGTAATATCAATTTCTGCTTGGATATATATTTTTTGCTCTGATATACAATTGCTATTATATATGCTTTGAAGTGTATGATTTGTTATACATATTTTTTTCATAAAAAAATGTTGATCTGATGATGGATGTTATGAATATTTGCTTTGATAATGTTGAATATTTGACCTATTTCAAATCAAATTCACAAAATGTTTCTCACAAAGCTATTATTTTGTGTGATCATTGTAGACCCCTAAAATTGTCCGGGTCGGAA